TACAGCCTTCAGGACATCTAATTTTGCAAATCAGTGTCAGGTACAGAAAGGATCCTGTCACTTGCGAACAGAACATTCAGTAACTTTAAAGGTCAAAGACCCATGTGGAAATTAGTTTTCAGCTATTGAAATACATCAACTTAAGACACACAAAACAGCAAACATGGTCTGTGCCACATTGGCCATTCACACAGATGTAAGGTGGTTGGTCCAATGGGCTGAGAGCTGCTATGGCAAGTGCTCCCTGATCATGCCCGTTGGAGGGAAGGAACACACCGGGGAGTGGGGAACCAGTTCAGGAGCGGCCACTTGATGAAGACATTACTCTGCAAGTTCCGCAGTTCACCTCAAATCCTCACAACCACCTGCGAGTAGGGAACTCAGGCCCACCGAGAAAGGGAGCTGACCCAGGGTGAGGAGGCCTTCTGGGCTCAAACACTCCCAGCTCCATGCCATGTCCTTCCCATGAATGCCAGGGAGCAGGCTGCAAATGGGCACCCAGGAGGACCTAATGTCCATACCCCAGTGAGAGGGTGTAGGGTAAAGAAAATATCAGGCTTTTCTGCCCTTCCGCCATCAGGATAGATGATGGATCCTTGTCCTGAATGCATGCCTGATGGCGGGCACCTGGAATAGGGTGTGGGCATAGGTAGATGGGATTCAGCTGAGCTAACACTGTGCTTTTAAGGGCGGCGTCACGGAGACGCCAGCAGCAACAGCAGCAGCAGCAGTAGAAGCCGAAGCCGAAGCCGAAAGAGAAGACAAGAAGGAGCAGAATGAACTCCAGAGAGCTCAGATAGAGTGAAGACTTGCTGGGGGCTGGGAAGCTGGCAGCCTCCCAGCCCCCCAGCCAGCACCCCTGCCTGCCATATGCCTGGTGAACCCCAATAAAAGACCTGCAAAAAAACACTGAGGACTCTGACTCCTCCTTTACCCGGTCTGCATGGGATCAGAAAACCTGCACTGTGTCCTGTCCTGCCCCTTAAGAGGGCCTGTCCCCAGACCCTTACCCATGCTGTGCGTCATTTTCTTTTTAAAGAGTGCTGCTGATTCTGAAGTATGCTGGCTCATGCTAACTTGTACTGTTTGTCAAAGGCTTGTTTTCACCAGTTTCCTCATTCTTGAATGATCGATAGATCATGGGCATTGTATGAGGGTAATTCAGAACACAAGGTGGGCTGGGTTTGTTTCTTTCAATTATTAAGTGGGGGAAAAGAGAAAAGCATCCTAAGCTTTTGAGGCCTGATTTTACTCTTTGTTTACCTATCAGTCATCAAGGTAGAGAAGTATAAATTAATTCCCAGTCATTCTCACCAAAAGATTGCAAAGCATCTTTGTTTCTTTTTTTCAGGTGGTCAAAAAATGGTGTCTCCTAACTGTTTTGCACCTGGGAATAAAACTCAGCTCCCAAGCAAAATGTCTTTTTTGATAAATCAGGGACAAAAAGACCAAAACTAATGACTTCCACAACGGAAGGTGCCCTGGGAAATATGTTATAGACTAGTGGAATCGGGGGCTTGTTTACTATGACTCTGTGTATCCATCTGATGGGGAGTATAAATAGTTTTCTTTCCACAAAGGGACCCAGAGAATAGTGAATCAGGGAATAATTGACTTGTCTTGTATGTTTGTGAATGTGCATTTTTATCTGATGGCAAATATGCTGTTGGCCTTTGAGTCAGTCACCCTCCATAAAATTCCTGCAGCCTCATATGCACCAAAATAGTTCGCCCATCCTCCCCAAAGAAAACATTTCAAATTAGCATTAATCAGCCAATGTCATATTTTGGGCCCTACGGTGAAAACCACCTACTGCAGCTGAATGCCATTCAGCAGGCAAGAAGTGATTTGCAATATAATTTAAATGAAGAGTTGGTTTTCTTTCCCATTTAGAACACACCAGTATGGAAAACTGATTGTCAGACATTCTGGTGATGTGCATCAACTTGGCTATTCACTCAGAAAATGAAGTTTCCTGAGACACCAGCATATTTAATTTATTTTTTTTTCCCTGTGAAGTTAACTTCCGCTTGTTAAATACAATGACTATCCAATCCACAGAAAACCAGCACCATTAATTTCCATGCTCATAATGTAATGGAAGATTATATTCATTTGGGATTTTTCCCCCTTTAAATGGAATGTTTACTTGCCCCTCTTCTTATAAGTTAATTATTATTTTCCATCCATAATGTTCTGCTTATATCTGAGCAGCCAAACAGCATCCCCGTTAATGTCTTGAGTTTATGAATTGCTGGCGAATCAATCGTTTTGCAGTGTCTATCACTAAAACATCAATAGCCTGGCAGCACAGTGAGTAAATATGTGACTGATAGCAAGCAACGGGTCCCTAACAGAACCTGCTCATCTATCTTTATGATACATTTTGTTTTAGTTGAGTTTCTTTGCTCTGTTTTGATTGGGAGATTGAATGGCTTTTCAGTGAATTGTGTAGCAGTGAGTTAAGAATGAGTTTCTCTTCCTCCTGAATCATTCTAGTATTTATTTTTAATTCATCTATTCATTTCATGGACACTTTGCACTCAGCTTCTATCAGTAATGTGCTAAAAACTAGGGTTTAAAAATAGTCATGATGCGGTCTCCCATCTTCATAGAGCTCATTCTCCTGAGTAGGAATCACAGCACAGTGGCCATGAGTGGTGCAAGAGATCTGGACACAGGTAAAAGAGGGTGAGATGCAAGGAGATCTCCCTAGAGAGGGACCCTCTAGTGAAGACTTAGAGTAGGAAATGCTGGAGCTTGATCCACTCCCCAAGGCCTTGAGTTCCTCAGTTGGCAGTGGAATGATGGGTGGAGGTGGGAAAAGGCAATACAACCAGAGGGAATGAGAATTCAAATTTGGGAAACAAGATTTTCCATTGGGAACCTGCTGCATATTATTTAAACAACAATAATAAAAATTGGCATTTAAAGATTCATCATTTGCTACACATTGTTTCAAATTTTGTATCTACAAACTCAATGAAGCCTTATGACTCTCTGAAGTAGGTCTTATCAGCATCCCTTTCTACAAATTAAAATCAATGCCTGGAGAGATTCAATAACTTGCCAAGTATCGCAGCCAGTAGGATTAGGGCCAAGGTTGCGACCTAGGTTCTCTAACGCCAAAATCTACATGTTAAAATATTAGCCCATGGCCTCATTGCCCAATAAAACCTTCCATTTTGTGATGAGTTGTGCAATAGGTGACTGACAATCTTGACTATGTGTAAATGGAGCTAGTATCAGTGCCTATCACATGTGGAGAACATTAAATGATATGTAAAATACATAAAGTGCTTAGAACCATGCCTGGTACATAGCAAAGCCTTTATTAACTTCTGATTATGTGATAATGTCTTAAAAGTAGTAGAGCCCAACATACTTAGGAATTCAAACCACATGGGGGGGTGTATTCTGCACAGGGTATGGGTCAAAATACTTTGCCGATCTGATCGCATTTGATGTAGAGTTGGCTGGCTTAATGTTGGGGATTCCTATAGAAAGAACTAAGGGATAAGGGGAGTGTGTCAGCAAGAACATGGAATGCAGTAATGTAAGCAGACTGGAAATTTCCATCGTGTTTAAGTAAAATAAATAGACTGATTTAATGAAAACAGAGGTAAAGAGAGGTCAGGAGAATAGGATTATACAGGTAGGTAGAAATTGTTTTCCAACTGGTGGTATTTGTTGAGTGATTGGCGGCATTTTTATTTTGCATTATATAATCACCATAAATATTTTCGTAGGGTTATACTCCCATTTTTCACCATTTGCAGGAGATGCGGTTCAGAGAAGTTATGTAACTTGTTTAAGGTCATCCAGCTATAAAGAGTGGTAGAACTTGGACTTGAGCCCACGTCTGTGTTACCGCAAGTGTGAGGCTCATTTGATGACACCACACTTTCATTCTTTGCAGCTCTGACCTTTCTTACACATCATGAATATTTTTGGAAGAACTTTTCTAGAAAATGGGGTAGGAAAAAAGAAAACCATGTCAATGTGTTCTTAGAGTTATGCTTATCAGTCATTATAGCCCAACATCTTGCCCATCAATAGCTTGTGTCTGCTTTCATTAAGATGGGAAGGAGGGGCCTGTTTGTCTTCCTACATGCACCCCCTCAGGTTTCCTGTTTGTATGTACCTGTTAGCACACATATCTTAGATATCTTGCTACCACCTGGAATAAGGGCTAATGGCTACAGGTTTGGGCTTTGAAGAACTGCCAGGTGCCAGGTGTAGACCACAGTTTGCCCTTTATGGCTGTGGGCATGAGCAAAATCCTTATCTTCTCTGTTTCTGTTCCCTTATATAATGACTAATAATAGTACCCAAATCAGGAGGTCACTGTTGGGAATAAATGGGTTCCTATATGTATAAAGGCTAAATCTATACTTAAAATGCTATGCTTGTTCACAAAATATTAGCATCATTATCATCATTAGTATGTCTTTCACCTCATTTCACATCTCTCCCAACAAAGAACTGCGAGACCGACTCTTTTAGGGAGGTTGTTCTTTCATATATTACTTAAGAGACTATAAACCTGTGCAACCCTTAACAAAATCTATCAATATTTAAAATGTGTCTCCTTTACTTGGTTATTTCACTTCTAGACATGTATCCTACAGATAAATTCACACAGGCAAAAAATGTGCAGTTTGCACCTTTTAATTTTAACCTGGTGTGTATAACTCAATCCAGATATTTTAAATAAGGATTGAAGAATGTTGTGTGCTTGTATCTTCTGGGTAGTCTAGTGCACCGCTAGCACAGAGACACTGAAAATTCCCTTTTGTTCAGCCTGCACTGTCCTTACCCACCTCCAAGTCCAGTCTCCATGGTGCATCTCCACCTGCATGTACCAAACGCCATTTAGAATGATGCTTCAGTCTGAGTCACTCATTCCAACATCTACTTTGATAACCATCTTTGCACTGCGTCCTCCTCTCTCCTTCATGGGTCTGCCTTCAAAATTAACACCTACTTTTCCCTTGCAGCAATGTCCTTGGCTTTTCTTGATGACGATTCCTGACTTGTGGCCCCAGCAATCTTGGGAATACATCATCCAATTTCTTCGATCGAGACCCCAGGGGTTCCCCTTTCTCCAGTGTCACCTCCACCCAGACTGGGCACATTGATTGAACTGTTTCCTAGGACACTGGTGAGTAAATGCACAAAAATAATTCACACTCTCCCCTTCCCCAAACTGTAGCCTCTACTTTTGAGCATGATTTTGTTTCTCTCCAAAGCTCTTCCAATTCCCTTTCTTTCTGCAACTAACTGGCTGTCCCATAGTTAATACCCCAAGGTTCATTATTTGTTTAATCGCTGGCTTATTCAAGGAGGTGGTAGCCAGAAGAATCTGAGAGCTGAAAGGCAGAGGCCTTTGTTCTCCTCCTGTGTGTTTCCATTCAGGGTTACGTGTCTCTGACTTAGATTGGAGACTAAATGGATTAGAATAAAACCAATTTAAGGGAAAAAAGAAATGTTCACAGAAACAGAAATAGAGATTCCTGCTATCTTGGCTGCCTAAGATCTGCAGGCCTCACCAAGGAATTTAAAAAGTAATGTTTCTTATCATAAGTGACAGAAATATGCTGCTTTCTGCATCAATAGATATGAAGATTAAAGGGTCTGACCGTATTAAACAATTTTGCACAGCACCAGGCACTCTGGGCTCCGCTCTCTGCCTTATTACCCTTCATCTTGTGGCTATTTCAGGCCCAATTTAAGAATACAATGCAGGCTGGCTTTGAAAATTGACGTCCTTTAATTTAAACTGTCTTGTGGGAGAATTAAGAAATTATGGAACAATTATTCGCCCTCAGTTGAAAGCTGGATGGCATCCTGAGGTGCTTGAGCGTTAGCCATTTGAACTGATTAAGTCACATAATTGAATTACACCTTTGCCCCCATAATATATTGTGGCGAATGTGTTCGGGTTTTTGTATTGGGAAAATGTTTCCGTAAAAAATAGTGTAGTGCTCAGGGTTGGAGGTTGACCTGGGTGTTAAAGTAAACCTCAGTGTGTGGTGGGCTGACACCTTGAGAGATGTTGTATGGGAGGCTGATTAGCAGAGCGGGCAGTTTCATTTGGAGTTTATTTATTTTTTAAGGAGTGATTTATTTATGTATGTATAGAAAAACTGGGGTGTAGGCCAGAGTTGGGGGTGTAAGTGGTGAGAGGATTCACCAGAGACAGAGTGGGGAGAAGAACAGGTGGATTTACTGAAATACACTGCTGAGGGGAGCAGTGAGCAAGACAGGAGAGGTCTGCTGTGCCATATGGGGGTTAACTCCCTGGCTGGGGATTGATCTCAGGCCTTCTCAGTAATAGTTCCGAGACCTAACCCCTACACTACCAGGGATGCCCTCATTCATAGTTTAAATGGAAGTTCACAGATCAAAACTGTGTACATGATATGGGGAAGTAGGAATCCTGGCTCGTTCTCCCTTCACTTTGTCCTTCAATGATCAACTTAAGAGTCTGCCACTCGTTTGCAAGCTTTTTTCAAATCCCCCAGGAACTGGCATGGTGAGTTGGCTGGAAGGCTCTTTTTCCTGGCAGTCTCCCTTAAGTGCATCACTCTCATTCCATCCCAGAGGATGACAGGTCTCCTTGGCTTGGCGAGGTGGCTGAACTCTGGTCCATGTCCAACTTCCTCCCTTAGGATGGTGGTAGCATGCAAGATATGTTTGTTGAATGACGTTTTATTTGGGAGTCTCAATGGTTTAGTTTCTAAACTCATTTTCTTTCGCAGACTGGGAATCAGAAGGAGGTGGAATCTGTTAGTAATTTTTCAAGCTTCTGATTCTTAACTAGGGATTTTTGCCTCACAGATGTCATTAGACCATTTCATCAAGGACTTATTAAACATCAACTCTATCCATTTAACAGATGTTTATTAGGCACCTGTTATGCATAATAGCTAGGGCCGATGCTGAGGGGGAAAATAGCCAAAAAATATTTCCTGTTCTTTAGATAAGCTCAGAATCCAGTTGAGGATTGGAGAAGGCTGTGTGGGAAAGGCTGTGTACTCCTGAAAGTACAGACAGGAGAGGCTGTTGAATAGTCCAGGAGATGAGGAGGGGCGGTGCTCATTCTACCCCCTTCCTCTCTGAAGTCTGAACTGCCCTGGGTCTGCCATGCCCCTGCTTCCCCCCATATCATCCCTTTTGGAACCCAGCAGCGAAGAAAGCTCTTAGACTAATGTCCTGTGGTCAGGCTGCATGTGTGCCTTTCATTCAAAAACTCCTCTAAAGGAGAACAATTTTAAAGCACTGTTCTTCCCTTCACCCCCAACCCAGCCTCCAACTCTCTACCATACGTGCTGCCTTCTGGGTCTTCTTATTCTTTGTCAGTTCTGTGTGGCACAAGAATCTCTCTCTTATTGAAAGCTCTTTACCTTTTCTTTACTTTTATCAAAGAATACGCTTGGAGCTTTAAAACCCAACTACAGCTATCCTCCTGAATATTTCTGTGTGGAAGGGATTAATCAAGTCTGTCAAACATTGAGCTGTAAAACCTTTAATATTTCTAAAAGGTTTAAAACGGGTATATTTATCACATGCATCATTGAGAATAATCTTTCTTTTTATAAAAAAATATAAATGCTCACGGTAAAATATTGTGGTGATGAGCACAGTGGGTGAAAGTTTCATTCAGGGAACTGATTGTGATATTGGAATGGAGATTCTGGTAAAATCTTTCCTGACTTCACTCCGTCGAGATCCCCCATCACCTACCATACCTTTATTCCTATGAATGCTTCACGTAGTGGAATTCTAGATTCTTGGTGCTCAAAAGGCAAGTAGGAAGAAGAGATTCATTTTTGTTGAGTGTCTTTCCTGTATCAGGTATTATGCCTGCATGTTCTAAGTGGGTTTTTACATTTTAATTTTCACAACAATCCTTTATAGCCAGCACCATCACAGCTGATTTATAGACAAGGAAACTAAGATTCAAGAAGTGAAGCAATTTTCTCAAGATCACATAAATATTCATTTGCAAATCTGGGACTTGACCTTAAACCTGTCGAATTCTTTCATTCTGTTTATGGAACAAATGCCTAGCAAATGCTTAACACAAGGTATGTCAGTAACTACTAAAGGTTGCCGGAGTTGTTTGGACTGTTAACGTTAGCTTCCTGAGAATTTCTGGCGACAGATCTTTATTGTACAGACAGACTGACAGACAGAGGAGATTGTTGGGCATGATTCTGAGTTTCTCAAATGTATATTTTAAAATATTTAATCGAGCAGTGGTGGTAATATTCCTAAGAGTAGAGGGTGGCTAGAGGCTTTTTATTATTATATATAACCATGTTCATTATTTCTATGTAAGGCAATTTCACATGTACAGCTTAATTTAATATGTTCTATAGTCTTGTGAAGGAATTCCAGCACTGCAGCCACCATATTTAGGGATTTTCTTTTTTTTATTTTTAATGACATATCATTATTTTACATTCTTGTTTGTTTTTTCGTCACATAGGATTCCTCCCCTCATGTGGGGTGACCATGGTTTTCCCACCACTCAAGCACCCAGAGTCCTCCACCATAGTCAACTGTGCTCCCTTCCCTCCTCCCCTCATTTTTTTCCCTCCCCCTCTACCTCTTCCTTCCCTCCCACATACCTCATATCTATAGTCAGCTGTCAAGGGTCAGTTTTACAGTTTGTCTTTTTCTGAACCTTTGTTTGGTTTCTTCATAGTCCACCTAGAAGTGACATCATCGGTATTTATCTTTCTCCTCTGGCTCACCTCACGTAGGATAATCGTTTCTAGCTCCGTCCATAATGGCATGGGTTTAATTTATTTTTATTTTTTTGATTGTTGAGTAGTGTTCATGTGTGTGTGTGTGTGTGTGTGTGTGTGTGTGACATTTCTTGATCCATTCATCTGTTCAGGTCATTTAGGTAGTTTCCATGTCTTGGCTATTTCCATTTTACAGATAAGAGAATTGAGGCCCAAAGACATAATAAGACCTGCATAGGGCATTTAACTGGAAGGGACTGAGTTGATGCTCATACTCTATTTGACACCAGTGCCACAGTCTTTCTACCAAAGTATGTTTTTAAACTATTTGATGTTATTCCTAACATTTGCAAAGAATTAAGTTCAGCCTTATTTTTCAGACTTGACACCTGAGGTCCAGGCACTGATAATCCTGTAATTGGGGCCCAAACAATGTGTTGTGATAGTGCAGAAGAAAGATCAATGTATTCAAATGAAGATGAGTAATTTGAAATCAGGGAAGGCTGCCCTGAGGCGGTGATTCTTAGATGGTGTTCTGAAGGGGAAAGGGTTTTAATAGAGGGAGAAGATTCAACAAGTGATACTAAAATGGAAGAAAGGAATGATCTTGTAGCAAAATGACAACATGGTGGTCCCATGGGCGGAGCCCTTCGGGGAAGTGCAAGTTTGTTGTTTCAATACAATTTGTTGTATAATTGCATTCCCAGACTGCCACCATAGTGTGTAATTAGAACCCCTGCCAGCTGGGTGGTGCCTTCCACATGCCTCCACTTCATGTCTCCAACTCTGCATTAGAGCAAGCACCAGAAGAAAGTCCTAAGGTTGGAAGGTTTGTCATTTCAAACTCCACTTTTCTATGAACATACCTCTCTGGGTTGACTAAGTATATTGAGAGGAAGCGAAGATGAAAGGCTTAGAGGAAAGAGCAGCTTTCTGCTCCCCGGTTACTGTGAAGACAATAGGCCCATTTCTGGAACTCTTTTGGGAAAGTGGGATATTCCCCAATTTACATTTAGCAAACTGTAATTAGTGTCAGAGAAGGAGAGAAATGACTGTGTTGGGAAGCACCGCTCTTCTCTGCGGAGCAGTCTCTACTCTGAAAGACTGTCTCCAGCACTAGGATTTTGTGTGGGGTGGCAGGACACCAGATACCTCCTATAGTTCAAGTGGACTTGGTCTGGGAGTGAAGTACTCACATGTGGTAGTGGGCAGAGTGCAGTTGATCTGCTTCAGATAGCAGAGTGGACCTTGCCTGAGTGTCAGCCAGTTGGGATCATGAAGCTCTTGGATGATTTCATTCATTCCATAAACACATGGGCCCATACCAAGGGAAGCCCTACTATGCTGACACCGGGGTGGATGTCAGAGGCTGCGGATCCCATGGGATCTGGGAAAAGTCCTTCCA